TTTTCTATTATTAGAATGTTTAACTTTTTAGGTGTGCTCATCCTTAAGTTATTTGTTTTTGTTATTTTATGGCCTTATAACAATTATATTCAACAATTTTTATTGAGCTCGAGGCCGTTTTTTAATGAAAACTTATTGTGAAAGAGCAACACTAATTTAAAAAAATGTAGAAGTGATAGCTATTTTCGGAAATCACCACATTTCCTCATCAGACTTCTTTCAGTAGGATTCGAACCGACGATCCCACTGACTCAGCCAGTTGCCTATGCACCGTGCTAAGTACGCCTTGTAAATTATCGTTTGCTTTTTTCCACTATTTTCATTTTTGTTATGCCAACACAATCAAGCGCAGCTATTCCGCTGCAATTCACTTGATCATGTGGTTGTTGGTATTGTTGGTTTTTGCTAATAATTCTATTTTTAGAATGTTTAACTTTTAGGTGTGCTCGTCCTTAAGTTATTTGTTTTTGTTATTTTTTTGGCCTTATAACAATTATATTCAACAATTTATATTGAGCTCGAGGCCGTTTTTTAAATGAAAATTTATTGTGGAAAAGCAACAATAATTTGAAAAAATGGTAGAAGTGATAGCTATTTCGGAAATCACCACATTTCCTCATCAGACTTCTTTCAGTAGGATTCGAACCGCCGATCCCACTGACTCAGCGAGTTGCCTACGCACTGTGCTTAGTTCGCCTTGTTAATTCTTCTTGCTTATTTCCACTATTTCACTTGTTAAGCCAACTACAATCAAGCGCAGCTATGGCGCTGCAATTCACTTGATCATGTGGTTATTGGCTTTTGTTGATATTTATATTATTAGACTGTTTAACTTTTAGGAGTGCTCGTCCTGAAGTTACTTGTTTTTGTTATTTTGCGGCCTTATAACAATTATATTCAACAAATTTTATTGAGCTCGAGGCCGTTTTTTAATGAAAATTTATTGTGGAAAAGCAACAATAATTTGAAANTGTGCTAAGTTCGCCTTGTTAATTCTTGTTGCTTATTTCCACTATTTCACTTGTTAAGCCAACTACAATCCGCTGCAATTCACTTGATCATGTGGTTGTTGGCTTTTGTTGATATTTATATTATTAGAATATTTAACTTTTAGGTATGCTCGTTCTGAACTTACTTCTTTTTGTTATTTTTTGGCCTTATAACATTTATATTCAACAAGTTTTATTGAGCTCGAGGCCGTTTTTTATTGAAAACTTATTGTGGAAAAGCAATAATAATTTGAAAAAATGGTAGAAGTGATAGCTATTTCGGAAATCACCACATTTCCTCATCAGACTTCTTTCAGTAGGATTCGAACCGACGATCCCACTGACTCAGCCAGTTGCCTATGCACCGTGCTAAGTACGCCTTGTAAATTATCGTTTGCTTTTTTCCACTATTTTCATTTTTGTTATGCCAACACAATCAAGCGCAGCTATTCCGCTGCAATTCACTTGATCATGTGGTTGTTGGTATTGTTGGTTTTTGCTAATAATTCTATTTTTAGAATGTTTAACTTTTAGGTGTGCTCGTCCTTAAGTTATTTGTTTTTGTTATTTTTTTGGCCTTATAACAATTATATTCAACAATTTATATTGAGCTCGAGGCCGTTTTTTAAATGAAAATTTATTGTGGAAAAGCAACAATAATTTGAAAAAATGGTAGAAGTGATAGCTATTTCGGAAATCACCACATTTCCTCATCAGACTTCTTTCAGTAGGATTCGAACCGACGATCCCACTGACTCAGCCAGTTGCCTATGCACCGTGCTAAGTACGCCTTGTAAATTATCGTTTGCTTTTTTCCACTATTTTCATTTTTGTTATGCCAACACAATCAAGCGCAGCTATTCCGCTGCAATTCACTTGATCATGTGGTTGTTGGTATTGTTGGTTTTTGCTAATAATTCTATTTTTAGAATGTTTAACTTTTAGGTGTGCTCGTCCTTAAGTTATTTGTTTTTGTTATTTTTTTGGCCTTATAACAATTATATTCAACAATTTATATTGAGCTCGAGGCCGTTTTTTAAATGAAAATTTATTGTGGAAAAGCAACAATAATTTGAAAAAATGGTAGAAGTGATAGCTATTTCGGAAATCACCACATTTCCTCATCAGACTTCTTTCAGTAGGATTCGAACCGACGATCCCACTGACTCAGCCAGTTGCCTATGCACCGTGCTAAGTACGCCTTGTAAATTATCGTTTGCTTTTTTCCACTATTTTCATTTTTGTTATGCCAACACAATCAAGCGCAGCTATTCCGCTGCAATTCACTTGATCATGTGGTTGTTGGTATTGTTGGTTTTTGCTAATAATTCTATTTTTAGAATGTTTAACTTTTAGGTGTGCTCGTCCTTAAGTTATTTGTTTTTGTTATTTTTTTGGCCTTTATAACAATTATATTCAACAATTTATATTGAGCTCGAGGCCGTTTTAAATGAAAATTTTTATTGTGGAAAAGCAACAATAATTTGAAAAAATGGTAGAAGTGATAGCTATTTCGGAAATCACCACATTTCCTCATCAGACTTCTTTCAGTAGGATTCGAACCGACGATCCCACTGACTCAGCCAGTTGCCTATGCACCGTGCTAAGTACGCCTTGTAAATTATCGTTTGCTTTTTTCCACTATTTTCATTTTTGTTATGCCAACACAATCAAGCGCAGCTATTCCGCTGCAATTCACTTGATCATGTGGTTGTTGGTATTGTTGGTTTTTGCTAATAATTCTATTTTTAGAATGTTTAACTTTTAGGTGTGCTCGTCCTTAAGTTATTTGTTTTTGTTATTTTTTTGGCCTTTATAACAATTATATTCAACAATTTATATTGAGCTCGAGGCCGTTTTAAATGAAAATATTTATTGTGGAAAAGCAACAATAATTTGAAAAAATGGTAGAAGTGATAGCTATTTCGGAAATCACCACATTTCCTCATCAGACTTCTTTCGGTAGGATTCGAACCGACGATCCCACTGAATCAGCCAGTTGCCTACGCACTGTGCTAAGTTCGCCTTGTTAATTCTTGTTGCTATTTCCACTATTTCACTTGTTAAGCCAATTAGAATCAAGCAGCGCAGCTATTCCGCTGCAATTCACTTGATCATGTGGTTGTTGGTTTTGTTGGTTTTTGCTAATAATTCTATTTTTAGAATGTTTAACTTTTAGGTGTGCTCGTCCTTAAGTTATTTGTTTTTGTTATTTTTTTGGCCTTTATAACAATTATATTCAACAATTTATATTGAGCTCGAGGCCGTTTTAAATGAAAATTTTTATTGTGGAAAAGCAACAATAATTTGAAAAAATGGTAGAAGTGATAGCTATATCGGAAATCACCACATTTCCTCATCAGACTTCTTTCAGTAGGATGCGACCTGACGATCCCACTTACTCAGCCAGTTGCCTACGCACTGTGCTACTACTATGCTCCACTATTTCACTTGTTAAGCCAACTACAATCAAGCGCAGCTATTTCGCTGCAATTCACTTCTTCATGTGGTTGTTGGTTCTGTTGGGTTTTGTTAATATTTCTATTATTAGAATGTTTAATTTTAAGGTGTGCTCGTCCTTAATTTATTTGTTTTTGTTATTTTATGGCCTTATAACAATATATTCAACAATTTTTATTGAGCTCGAGGCCGTTTTTTATTGAAAACTTATTGTGGAAAAACAACAATAATTTGAAAAAATTTAGAACTGAAAGCTATATCGGAAATCACCACATTTCCTCATCAGACTTCTTTCAGTAGGATGCGACCTGACGATCCCACTTACTCAGCCAGTTGCCTACGCACTGTGCTACTACTATGCTCCACTATTTCACTTGTTAAGCCAACTACAATCAAGCGCAGCTATTTCGCTGCAATTCACTTCTTCATGTGGTTGTTGGTTCTGTTGGGTTTTGTTAATATTTCTATTATTAGAATGTTTAATTTTAAGGTGTGCTCGTCCTTAATTTATTTGTTTTTGTTATTTTATGGCCTTATAACAATTATATTCAACAATTTTTATTGAGCTCGAGGCCGTTTTTTATTGAAAACTTATTGTGGTTGTGGAAAAACAACAAGAATTTGAAAAAATTTAGAACTGAAAGCTATATCGGAAATCACCACATTTCCTCATCAGACTTCTTTCAGTAGGATTCGAATCGACGATCCCACTGACTCAGCCAGTTGCCTACGCACTGTGCTAAGTTCGCCTTGTTAATTCTTGTTGCTTATTTCCACTATTATTTAAAAAAAATAGGGACTTGGAAAGCGGGTTAAAAATTGGTTAAAAATAATAAAAACAATTAATCTTTTTGTTGCATAATCTGCCGTTTGGCTTGTTTTGTGCATTAAAACTGTTTTTTATTTTGTCGTTTAATTGTTTTTTGTATAAGCAGCCTTATTAAA